CGCCTCCTTGACCCTCGCCCGGATCTCGCCCACCACCTCGCCAGCGAGCTCGCCCAGCGCCTCGCCAGTCAGAGCCGTGCCGCGCCTCTCCCCCTCCCCGCCGCCGTCGCAGTCGCCGCTGTCGTCCCCGGCGCCGCCGCCGCCGCCGTCCCGCGCCCGCTTGTGCAGGTGGTCGGTCAGGTCGAGGTAGGCCTCGTCCAGCGAGCCCGCCGTCATCTTCGGGTCGTACTCGCGGAAAATGGCGCGCGCGACCTCGGCCACCGCCGTGTACTTTGCAAAGTCCGGCCGCACAAAGACGAGCTCGCCGCGAGGCATGCCAAACTCAGGCCCGCGCCGGCAGAGCGCCTGGCCGATGAAGCCCGGCATCGCCGACCGCACGCCCCACCTGCGGGCGACGTAGTTGGCGGTGCTTATCATCCCGATCCCGCCCACGGCGACCGGCTTGTCTGCTAGCTCCGGCCGGTCCCGAATCTCGACGGCGGCGTAAAACATATCAAAGTCAATCACGGCGCAGCAGCGGTCCGCGCGGCGCGACGCCTCGAGCGCCGCAACCTGCCGGGCGACGACGGCCGCCGCGCTGCGCCGGGCGCCCTCGTCGCTGCGCTGCAGCTTCTGCTGGAGCAGCGCGACCGTCTCGTCCACGCGCCGGTCCGACTTGAGCAGCTTGGCGGTGTACGCGGAAGACTGACTGAGCTGGGCGATGATCTCGTTGATTTTGCCGCGATTGATGTCGGTCATGCCTCCCTTCTCGTTGGCAAAGACATAGATGGCCTTAACGGCGTCGCCCGCATCGCTGGCAGTAGAGGGCTGGCCTGCCGGCGGTGACGGTGACGGAGAGCGTGGCATCGAGCGGTCGAGCAGGCGAGAAGCGGCGGCCAGAGGGCAGCGGCGAGCGAGCGGTAGCTCGCAGGCGAGAGAGAGAAGCGGCGGCGAGAGAGCCGGCCGGGGCGGGGAAGCGGCGGCGACCGACGGTTTGTTTTTTCCTTCCCGCCCACCCTCTTTCCTCGCCGCGACGCTCACAGTTCATTCCTGAGAAATTCCTCAGAAGAAAAGAAATAAGCTGCCAGCCGCTCTCGCGCTGCCTGGCTCCTGCTTCGGCGCCCTCCATATCCTCCCAAATTCACCTATGCGCTCCTACATCCCCGGTGCGAGCAGCGCCGGGCTCTTCGTGGCCGCGCTCGCTGCCCGGCCGCGATTGCTCGGCCATAACCGCGTGCGCTCCGCCGCCGGTGGGCCTCGGTGTGCAGCGCTGGGCAGCCTGTCTGCCGCGATCTCGGACGCGGCCTTCTCGCACGCGGTGGAGCGCGCGGTGCAGGAGCGGGGCTACCCGCACCAGCTCGAGCTGCCTCACTTCCTCTCTGCGTGCGGCCTCTCCGGCGACGGTGTCGCCTTTGTGCCTGGCGCTCCGGCGCCGGAGGAGGCGCCCCTGGTGCTCGACGTGCGCTCGCCGTGCGAGTTTGCAAAGGGCCACCTGCCGGGCGCAGTCAACATGCCGCTCTTCTCCGACGAAGAGCGCGCCGTCGTCGGGACGCTCTACAAGCAGCAGGGCCCAGAAGAGGCGGTGGCGAAGGGCGTGAGGCTGATCGAGGCGTCGTGGAGGGGTATGGTGGACGCGCTGCCGCCAAAGGCGCGCGAGGGGGGGAGGCTGCTCGTCTACTGCAAGCGCGGCGGGATGCGCTCCGGCGGCGCCGCCTGGCTCCTCTCCCAGCTGCCTCTCGAGGTAGTGACCCTGCGGGGAGGGTATCAGGGCTTCCGCAGGTGGGTGAGGGAGGAGGCGTTCCAGACGCTCGACCGGGAGCTGGTCGTGCTGGGGGGGCGGACCGGCTCGGGGAAGACGGACGTCCTCCTCGCCATGGCCGAGGCGAGGCGCGCGCAGGTGCACCTCCGGCGGGAGAGAGAGAGAGAGGCTGTCCGCGACACCCGTCCACGACACGTCCGCGAGTTGTCCCGAAGGTGGTCGACCTGGAGGGAGTGGCGCAGCACCGCGGCTCCTCCTTCGGCGCGCTGGGCCGGCCGGCGCAGCCCTCGAACGAGATGTACGAGAACCTGCTCGCGCTGCAGTGGGCAGGCCTCTCGCCTCAGGCGCACCTCGGCCGCACCTCGGCCGCACCTCGGCCGCACCGCGGCCGCACCTCGGCCGCACCTCGGCCGCACCTCGGCCGCACCTCGGCCGCACCTCGGCCGCACCTCGGCCGCACCTCGGCCTCGGTTGTATCTACCGCCTCAGCTTCACCGAGAGCAACCCAGCACGCGGGAGACTCTCCCTCCCTCCCCCCCGCCCCACACACCCCCACACCCACGGGCGTAGGCGCCAGTCTTCATCGAGGACGAGGGCGCGCACGTGGGACGGTGCGGCGTGCCGGCCGGGCTGTGGGCTCGCATGCGGGCGAGATGTAGCCGAGATGAGATGGGGACGAGATGGGGACGAGATGTGCCGGGCTGCATGCGGGCGCCATGGTGGGGCGAGGAGAGGTGCGGCCGTCGATCCTTCGAGGTGCGGCCCGTCGAGGTGGAGCCATTTCTGACGCGTGAGGCGCCCGCTGCAGGCGGAGAAGACGAGGGTGGTGCGGCTCGAGGTGCCGCGAGATGCAGCCGAGATGCAGCCGAGAGGCAGCCGAGAGGCAGCCGAGAGGCAGCCGAGAGGCAGCCGAGAGGCAGCCGAGAGGCAGCCGAGAGGCAGCCGAGAGGCAGCCGAGAGGCAGCCGAGAGGCAGCCGAGAGGCAGCCGAGAGGCAGCCGAGAGGCAGCCGAGAGGCAGCCGAGAGGCAGCCGAGAGGCAGCCGAGAGGCAGCCGAGAGGCAGCCGAGAGGCAGCCGAGAGGCAGCCGAGAGGCAGCCGAGATGCAGCCGGAGGGGTCGAGGGCGGTGCAGCTTCCCGGAGCCGTGCCGGAGCTGCCCCGCAGGTGCCGCGGGAGACGCGCGTCGCGAGGCTCGTGGCGGAGTACGGGAGCCACGCTCCGGACGAGCTGGCCGAGTGCGTGATGAGCGGAGAGATGTCCGAGCGGAGATGTCCGAGAGAGAGAGATGCCTGGCCGAGCGCCACAGCTCGAGAGGGCGGCCCCGCCCATATCTCGGCGTATCTCGCCCCGGCTCGTCTCAGGTGCGTCCTCAAGCTGGAGAGGAAGCTCGGCTCGGGCCGCGCAGCCAGCCTCGTCTCGCTGCTGCTCGACCGCTCTCCGCCCGCCCTCGGCGAGGTCGCCGACCTGCTGCTCACGCACTACTACGACTCGATGTACGAGCACCAGGCCAAGAAGCGGCCCGGCGCCGTCGAGACGCTGCCCTGCGACACCGCGGACGCGGACGCCGCCGCCGCCGCCATCCTGCGGCACGTCGGGTGCTGAGCGAGGCTCAGGCTGTTAGGCTCTGTGCGACGGGAGGGTCAGGGACAGGGCAGTACTGTGGTACTGTTTTCCCATCGCTCTCACGGTGCAAACACGAAACCGCGACGCCGTGTATAAACACATCACACCCCACCGTGCCGCACACCGACAACGGTCAACGCAAAAGCACACGACGACGTCGCGCACGTCGCGCTCGTCCGCGGTCCCACGGTCCCCCAGACACCGCGACAGACGGTACACGGAGAGATAGAGAGCGTGTTGCCGAGTCCGGCGGAGTCGTGTTCGCGGTCTTACAACACGCACGTGACGTCTGACGAGAACACATCCCAGATCCCACGCACGGCCCACAAGACGCGCGCGGCGCGGCCACGAGAGAGAGACGCGGGTAGACGAAAAATCGCACGATAGAGCGCACGCCACGCACAGCAGTGACAGTCAGTGACGTGTCGTAATAGCGCTTACTTGTACCCAAACCACGGATGCTGCGACGGAAACTTATCTCTCCCTGTGTACGACTCTGGTCCGACGGAGGGCGCTGCACTCACGCTCGGCTGGACCGTTCGCGCCTTTGCCGCCATGAGCTGCCGCTGCTCCTGGCGGCTGACGCAGCTCTCGAGCACCTCGCCGCCCGACCGTACCATGCGCCACACGCCGAGGCTCGGATCGAAGACGCGCGTCACCCGCTGCGCCGCCTCCTGTGCCACCGCAGCCTCCTCCGGTCTCATGGCACCGGCGACGACCTTTGCCGGAGCGGCCGCTGGCGCAGCAGGCTCCGCCTCTGCAGGCGGCCCATCCGCCACGCCGGCCCAGACGGTGGGAGGAAGGGGCTGCTCGCTCCCCTCCTCCTCCGCTGCCCGCCTTCGCTTCTCCTTCTTCCGATCCCTCTTCCGCTCTCGCTTCTCCTTCTTGGCCTTCTTCTTATGCCTTTTCCGCTCGCGCCGCCGCGATGCGCTTTCACTGCTTTCGCTGCTTTCGGACACGGCGTCGTCCCCCGTTCGATCCCGCTTTCGTGCACACATGCAAAAGTCGCGGCGGTGGCACCGCAGGTTTCGGGGGTCCGAGACGTAGGGGATCAGACCTGGGGGCGATGTAGAGCGATGTAGAGCGATGTAGAGCGATGTAGAGCGCGATTTACTCATGTGATTTCACCGTGAAATCCGCGCTCTACATCGCTCTACACAGGCTGCGACTCACATCGTCACGCGCCGGATGTAGAGCTCTACAGTGCTCTACATCTCTACATACAGCTCAACAGTGCTCCACACTCTACATCCTCTACTCTACACACTCCCTCCCCCAGTGTGCATGTCAATGCCCCACCCCCCTGCGCCGCTGCGCGCGGGCCTTCTAGGCCCGCGGGTAGTCTCCCCCATACCCAGGGCCTCCTAATGGGCCTCCAGGTCTTGCACCTCAACCTCTCTCTCATTCATAGACCAGGCGCGCAGCGCCAGCCAGGAAGCTTCTTGATTTCTCTTTGAGTCGCATGTAACGCTGTCTGCTATAGCCGCAGCCGCTCCTCGCTGCTCGGTGTGAACAACGGGAGCTCCGCGACTCGATGAAAACTCCAGAAGTTTTGGGGGGGCGGGGGGGTAGGTGCTCGGTTTTCCACATTGGGCCGAACGCGCGTTTTCGCTCCGCCCCGGGGGCCCACGACACCGTTTATGCTGCCCGCCTTCTTGTTGTCGCTGGCCAGTGGCGAGGGCGGTGGCAACACCCACTACTTTGCCCCCGGCAACAACCACCACGACCAGGTCCTCCTCCGGTTCAACGCGAGCACGCTTGACGCCGTCCAGGCATTGCCCGCCCACACTACTGCCCGGCACTCATCGCAGGCGTTGCGGCGGCGGTTCGGAGGCTGTTGCGGGTCTCAGCACCACCGCTCGCGCCGCACAGGCGGTGGCGGGCTTCGAGGACGCCGTGCCGCTCTTCGACTACTGGACCTCGCCCTCGCTGGGCAGCCCGTTCGACGTGCGTGTGCTCGCCTCCTCGGTGAGCGAGATTCGGGCGCGGCTGGCAAGCCACTTCGTCTCCGTCGAGGTGGTCGTGCCGGACATCCAGACGCTGGTCGACAACGAGGCGGCTGGCCGCTCGTCCAGCCGCTCTAACCGGTGGCTGCCGGGCGAGTACCACTCGACCGACCAAATCAACACCTACTTCCGAGACACGGCGGTGCCCAACTACACCCACATCGCCTCCACCTTCTCCATCGGCACGAGCACCGAGGGGAGGGACCTGCAGGTGGTTCGCATCACGGGCGGGCCAAAGAACACGACCTGCAGCTACACTCCTGCGCCGGCATGCAAGCCCTCGTACAACGGCAAGCCCGCCATCTGGTTCCAGTCCACGATCCACGCCCGCGAGTGGCTGACGGGCGCCTCGGCCGAGGTGATGGTCGACAAGATCCTAAAGGACTACGCGACCGACGCCTCGATCAGACAGATGGTCGACTCGCTCGACCTCTACTTCCTCATCATCGCCAACCCCGACGGCTACGAGTACTCTCGCGAAACCGACCGCTGGTGGCGGAAGACGCGCTCGCCGAACGCGGGTTCCTCTTGCGTCGGCACGGACCCAAACCGAAACTGGGCGCACCGCGCGTGGGGCGGCGTGCCCGGCTCGAGCACGAACCCGTGCAGCGATGTCTACCACGGCTCGCGGGCAGGCTCGGAGCCCGAAGTGGAGAGGATCCAGCAGTTCGTCACCCAGTTCGGCACCGAGGCGGACGGCTCCTCGCACTTCAAACTCTTCATCGATTACCACACCTATTCGCAAATGTGGCTCTACCCGTGGGGCTACCTGTACTCCGCGGCGCCTCACGACGACGAGCACGACGCCCTGTCGGCGGCGGCCGTCGCGGCGATCCGCGGAGTGCACGGCAAGCAGTACACGTATGGTCCGGCAGCCTCGACCATCTACGTGACGACTGGCGACAGCACCGATTGGGCGTACGACCCGATCGAGGCGCGACCTCCCACACCTGACTGGGCCTACATCAAGCACGCGTACACCATCGAGGGCCGCGACACCGGCGGGTATGGCTTCGTCGCGCCGGCCTCCGAGATTGCGGCGGGAGGGTCCCTTTCAACCCCTTGATCGCCTTCCAGTTGATCTTCTTTATCTCCGGTGGTGTGCCGGTGATAGTACTAGCACGCGCCAGTTCGCACCTGTGTCGAGCCTGTCTGCTGTGAGAGAGAGTTCTCTTGTTTAAATTCTTTATCTCCCTGTTCCATTGATAAAGAAAGAAGTAGCGATCGCCACCTCGCTGGCCTCTCCGCAGGCCCCCCCGACCGCGTCGAACTCATCGGCGCGGGCTCTCTCGGCTACGGGACCGGCCCCAGCTTCGGCTGAGGGCTGACAAGCTGCCGAGCCCAAATCACTGTGAGAGTCGTGATTTATTGTTGGTTTTCTAAAATCTCTCTTGATAAACTCCTTCTCGCAACACGGAATATTGGTTGGCGTCGAGCCACGACCGCCCCGCCGCGTTTTTCCAGCTTTGCCCGCCAGGATCTCCGAGGTCTCCTGGCTGTTGTGTCGTGTCCCCGTCGATTATACCTGGCGTCCCAGTCAGGGGAGAAAACTTCACTCGCGTGCACGGCGGCCCGAACGAACGCTGCTTTCGAGATATGCGATTGTGATGCGGGACGTCGCCCTGCTCCTCGCGCTCCTGCGCGCGGCGCCGGCCGCCGGCGCGCAGCCCAAGCGGAGGCGCACGCTGCTCGTGTCCCACTTTTACAACGAGGCGCTGCTGCTACCGTACTGGATCGCGCACCACGCGCCGATGTTCTCGAGTGCCATCCTCATCGACTACAACTCGACCGATGGCTCGGCCGAGCTCGTGCGCCAGCTCGCGCCGCGCACCTGGAAGGTCGTGCCGTCGTGGGACGGCGAGTTCGACGCGGTGAACCTCGACCGGCAGGTGATGCAGTGGGAGATGACGCGGCCCGACGACTGGCGCATCGCGCTCACGACCACCGAGTTCCTCGTGATGCCGGGCTTCCACGAGCTGCTCGCCGCGCTCGACCCTGGCCCAAGCGGCCACCGGGTGCTCCACTTCCACTCGCTCATCGCCGTGGGCGACGACACGATACCACTCAAGCCGCCAAGCGCCGAGCCCCTCGTGTGCCAGCGCGGCGTGTTCGTCGAGCCGCAGCGCGGGCTGCTCCTCGGCGCATTTCCCGGACGCGGGGCCTTCTACGACCGCTTCATGCACGTGGGCCTGGGGAGCAACTACGTGTACACGCCGGGCCGCCATCATATGGGGGGCTCGGTCACGAAGGCGGAGAATAACGCGTTCTACGACGGCGGCATCATCCTCAAGTACATGTGGTGCGCACAGCCGCCCCCCCCCCCCCGCCCCCCACCCTCGCCCTGCACCCTCCACGGGCACTCTCGGGCGCGTGCCCGGGGCGCCGTGCCTGCCAGCCCGCCCTCGCGCGCGCGCACGGACGACAGAGTGCACGTGTCCAGTAGCCCTGCGATTTGCACGCGCACACCTACTGTGCCGTACCAAAGTCTGTGCCGCTGTGAACAGCAGCTCCTGACCACGGCGCCCTCACCCTCTAGCGCGAGCCCCCTCCCCACTCCCGCCCCCACCCTCTAGCGCCCTCCTTGCCGCGTGGGCACACAGGACGCCATGGCCCGAGACGCGAAGCCGCAAGATGCAGATCGGCCACAAGGTCTCGAGCCGTGACCGCAAGATGGGAGCCGGGTTGCAACACAACCAGATGATCAACATATCCACCCGAGCCGCCGATGAGCGCCGCGCGGGCGCGCTCGACGGCGTCGCCAAATACGACGGCACGGGCAAGGCGCCCACGCCCGGCACTGGCGGCGGTGGCGAGCCGGCGGTGCCCGCGCTCGCGCTCGGCTTGCTGAAGCGGTGGGCGTGTGGCAAGGGCCTGCATGAACACGACGGCGGCGCGGGCGGGCGCGACGGGCGGACCAAGCCGTGGAGGGCGTCGGAGGCGTGCGTCGCGACTATCGCGACGGGCGGCGCCGCGCCGTCGGTGGCCATCATCGGTGCCGGCGGCAACATTGGCGCGCGGCTGCACGAGGTGGCCTCGGCCAACCCTCCCCCTCCTCCTCACTCACTCCCCTTGGTCCTGCCCTCCCTTCTCACCGTCCCTTGGTGACCGGTGGCAGGTGCTCTCGGCCAACTGCGGCTGGAAGGTCACGGGTTATGACCGCGAGCCGCGGCTGCGCCCGCCGCGCGCCAAGTACCCGATCACGCCGATGAGCGCGGCAAGCATCCCAGCGGCGGAGCTGGCGGCGTACGACGCGGTCGTCTACCTCGGCGGGCTGACCGGCCGGGCGGCGTGCGACCGGCACACGCGCGAACAGACCTTGTCGGAGAACGTCGACGACCCGCTCGCGCTCGCGTCGCGCATGGGCCCCTCCCAGCTGCTGGTCTTCGCCTCCACCTCCGCCATCGCCGAAGGCTCCGGCCAGCGGAGCGCGCGAGAGGACACGGCGGTGCGCACCGAGCTGCTCGACTCGTACTCATCCTCGATGCACCAGCGCGAGGCCGCCATGCGACAGCTCGCCGCCAGCAAGCCCGCCGGCGCACCGCAGCTCGTCGGGCTGCGCTTCGGCACCGTCATCGGCGTCTCGCCCGGGCAGCGCGTCGACCTGGGCCCGCCGGCCATGCTCAAGTCGGCGTACACGAGTGGCGTCCTCAAGGTGGCTCACCCCGAGACGTCACGCGCCTTCCTGTGGCTGGAGGACCTGTGCCGCGGCATCTCGCGCACCATCGAGCTGCGGCGAGGCGGCGCCGCGAGCGTCGGAGCGCCGCCGGCGACGGCCCATCACAGCAAGCGTTCGGCGCCGTCGTCGTCTTCGATGGCGCCCGCCGCGCCACCGCCGTTTGCCATCTACCATCTGAGCTCGTTCAACTCGAATGTGGGCGCGCGCGCGCACCGGCGCGCGTATCGCCGCGTCCAACCACGGCACCGCGTCGAAGGACGTGCTCGGCTTCTCCCTCAACAACTCCCTCTTCGCGCGCACGTACAACTTCACGGTCCGCGGCTCGCTCGCCACGGCCATCAGGCAGCTCGACGGCGCCGCGCCTGACTCGCTCATTGGCAAGGGCGCGCACACGACGGCGGTCCGCGTGCCGCCCGCGGCGGACGAGCCGACGCCGACGGACGCCGCGTGCGACGGCGACCGACCGACCGGCCGACCAACCGAAAGACCGACCTTCAAGCACGACCACGCCCACTGCCCGCACGCGCTAACGCACGCGCCACCTCCGCCTGCCACCAACAGCGGCGGCGTCAACGTGACCTCCATCCGCTGCCCCGTGTGCGGCTCGCACGACATCCAGCTCGCGCTCGACCTGCGCGACCAGCCGCTGGCCAATGACTTCATGAAGACGACCACGGAGGCGCTGCGCGCCGAGAAGTTCCCGCTCGCGCTCGTGCACTGCCGCCAGTGCCACCACATGCACCTCTCGCAGCTCGTCTCGCGCAAGCGCCTCTTCTCCGACTACATGTACGTCTCGGGCACGTCCAAGACGCTCCTCAAGCACTTCGAGTGGCTGGCGCAGAAGATCCAGGCCGACGTGGAGACGCTCCCGCTCGAGGGCGCGCGCACCAAGCGCGCGGTGCTCGAGCTCGCATGCAACGACGGCTCGCAGCTCGACGCCTTCGCGAGGCTCGGCTGGAAGACGTACGGAGTCGACCCGGCGGCCAACATCGTGCCCACCGCCGTGGCCAAGGGGCACCAGGTCAAGGTGGGCTTCTGGGGGGCACAGAGCGTGTGGCCGCCCGAGGGCAAGCCGGTGGTGCTCGACGCGATCGTCGCGCAGAATGTGCTCGCGCACGTGCCCTCACCCACGCAGTTCCTCAAGGACTGCGCCGCGGCGATGGGGCCGCGCACGCTGCTCTTCATCCAGACGTCGCAGTGCGCCATGCACGAGGACGGCCAGTTTGACACGGCGTACCACGAGCACCTCTCCTTCTTCACGTCGCACTCGTTTGAGCGCGCCGCCACCGCCGCCCAGCTGGCGGTCCTCTCCTTCGAGACCGCGCCCATCCACGGCATCTCGTGCCTGTGGAAGCTCAAGCGCGCCGACGGCGAGTCGTCGGGCGCGCTGGCGGGCGGCACGAGCCTGCGGGCCAAGCTGGATGAGGAGGTGCGCCTCGGCATCACCACCGACTTCTTCTACGAGCGCTACCGCATGCGCGCCGAGGAGACGTCCGCGTGGCTCGACACCCAGATCGCGGCGCTCTCTGCGGCGGGCTACAGGCTCGGCGGCTACGGCGCCGCCGCCAAGGGGATGGTGCTTCTCCACTTCATGCTCGGCCGCGGCGGCGCCCACGCGGCGGCGCGCTCACTCGAGTTTGTCGAGGGCGACACCGTTGCCCAGATGCACTACCATCCCGCCCAGATCGGCGCGACCTACAGAGGGTTGGTGGGCGCGGCCGGTGCGCGGCGCGCGGTGCTACTGACGAGCTTCGCGGACGACGCGGCTGTGCTGCCTCACTGGATCCGCCACCACGCGCACATGTTCGACGAGGCCATGCTGCTCGACTGCGGCTCGGCCGACGCGTCAGGCGTCATCATCGAGCGCGAGGCGCCGCCCACCTGGCGGGTCGTCCGCGCGCCCAATGCCTCCTCTGCCCTCCACGGCTGTGCGCACCATCTCGCGAGCCACGCGGCCGCCGCCGCCCTGCACGACTGGGTCTTCCCGCTGCAGCTGCACGAGCTGCTGGTGCACGGCGACCTGCGCGGCGCGCTCGCCGCCCTCGACGGCCAGGCGGGCCCGCCACCCCTCGCGGCGACGCTGCAGTTCCCCGCGCTGCAGATGGCGGTCTCCTCCGCCGCCAGGGCACCCGCCGACCGCTTCACTGACCTGGCGACGCAGCGCTCGCAGTACCATCCGGCGGCGCCGCTGGCCACCTTCCGCGCGAGGACAGGCGCCGCCAAGCGCCATGCGAGCAAGCGCCATGCGAGCGGGCAGGTGCAGGCGCTCTCCAGCAAGGACGGCTTTGTTCTCGTCTACCCGCCGACCAGCACCGCCCACGGCAACAGCAACAGGGGCGGCGGCGGCCGCGACGCGGCGGCGGATGCGTACACGGGCGACCTCTCGGAGCTATACGAGGTCATTGCGAGGGGCCCGCGGCCGGCCGGGGCGGGCGGGCCCTCCGGACTGTGGCCCACCCGCGAGGCCTTCGCGCTGCACCGCATCTTCCATGAGGCGGGGCTCTCGGCGCCGCCGCAGGGCCGCGCGCGCCAGCGTCGCATGCCGCGAGCTCGCCAGGCGTACGAAGAAGCCACGAGGCACGCGCGAGTAGGCACCGTGGGCACGCGCCGTCACGAACCATCGCCCTGAAGGGGTGCGGAGACATGCGCGGGGCGAAGGCGCGGAGGCTGTCGCTGCATGCATGCATGCATAAACTACCGCTGACACGCGAGCGGCGATCCGGACTGGAGGAAATTAACGTGGCTGGCGTGGGGCTGGGGAAGAGCGGTACATAGCGTTTTGCGTCTTAGACGCCACAAGCATCTATAGATGCACAGCTGTTCTGAGATGGTACTTGCATACTAGATCACATTTTACTATACTTGGACAGGGAAGCGTCTCAGGAGACACCGTGTGTCGGTGCACACCGGGCACCGAGGGGGGAGCACGATCCACGAAGACGGTGTGATCTCTCGGCACCCCCTGGCCCTGCCTTGAGTGCTCGCGAGAGGTCTCTCCTCGCGGCCTGCGTCTCCTGGAGAACCAGGTGCTCAGCACCGCGCATGCATCTGCTCGCGCCACGAGCTCTGGGCGCGAAGTTGCGCTGCTTAAGACGATCCGAGCGCCGCCCCCCCCCCACCAGCAGCGGCGCGGCAGGTAGCGGGGCCAGTTCGAGGCTTAGGGCGTGGGCGTGCGCCTAGACACGGAAGAGACAGCGTACTTCCGAGAGTCAGCCACCAGGTGACACCCGAGCGCGGCGCAGGTTGGAGGAAGCCGCCACCGACGAGCGCGTTGGACTTTTCACTCCGGACAAAGACGGCCACACGCACACGAGCTGCGGTCGTGTGGCCGTCATAGCGGCGAGGCGCGGGACCGTCTGTGGCGAAGTGGGTCGCGTCCTCCGATTTCCGTCAACTCACGGTCCTTCCCCCGTAGCCGTCATGTCATGGCCCGAGGGACCTTAACATGGGGCATATATGTAGAGCCATAGCCCAATACGCGCTCAAAGGGCACATATTTCAGATCACCCTTTACACGTAGATAGGCTAGTTCCAATTCACTCTGACACGCTAATCTTGAAAACGCGTCCAACGGAGCTCCGTGTTGCTCCCAGCGCCCTCCCCCGAGCTTCCTGCGGCCATGGCCGGTGCTACTAGTATGGGGGGCTACCTGGCTACCGCGAGAGCGACCCAACTCGTCGACATCGTCCGATGATGGTGCCTCAAAGTCAGCCTCCGGAGGCTATCGTCGCGTCGAGCCGGCGGTGGCCGTGACATGTGGTTCCACCACCCCTCGCAGGCTTTGCCTCTGACCGCCACCGTTCCCAGGCTGCCTAATGGGATGGAAAGGAAGGCTGGGCGAGCGTATAGAAGCGTGCTCGACCTCGTCGTGGCAACCTGCACGGCAGCGCTGGTAGGCGATATGAGCGTCGTGCCACCTGACCCAAGACGGGTCGCAGGCGTCGTACCGAGCGCGTCGAGACCGTGTCCTGATGTGATCTGCACGGGTGAGTCACGTCGGCGTCAAAGGAGCGACGTGCGACCTGTCAGAGCTTGATCTCCGATCTCAGCGGCGTCGAGTCGTCTCCGGCGCGCGACACTATTGTACCTCCCCAGGACGCGCAGAGTTAGCTGCGACCCCGCCAAGTGGACGGGGGCACTCCGCGCCACCTGCCGAGTGCCCCCGTCCACTCGGCGGGGTCGCAGCTGCCTCTGGAAGGCACCGAGAGGTACAATAGTGCGCAAATGGTCAAATCAAGGTTTTGTAACGCGAGCTGTGCCACAGAGAAATGGAACTAGCCATAATGCCGCGCGGCTAAGGTAAGGTAAGGTAGATTTCTCCACACACACAAAGTGGTGGGGCAAGGGGGGGCGACCCTCGCATCTCCACGCCCGGACACGGGCAGGAGCCCCACGGCATTCAAAGTGCAAGCACTGGCCCGGTGCACGTGGGTGAGCAGCCTGCCCCTCCCTCCCGACAAACCAACTCCCGCACACACACAATCGCACTCTGGCCATCGAATGACTCCGAATGACTCACTGTGTGTGCTAAGACAGAATCTCCGCAGACATCCAAAACGGGCCGTGCCGCGTTTGTGGTGTCTTCTCAAGCACTAGCATCCGGGCGCCGCACTCGAGTGGGCGGGTCACATCTATGTGGGCCCAGTGTGCGCACTAGGCGCATATGCTAGTGCTATCCTGCCCTATGGGAGGCAGAGGGATGGGGGGAGGGGGGGGCAGTGGTAAGGTGGGGTGAGACTGGGGAGGGCCTCAAAGGTCCTCCATGGGGGTGGGGTCCGGCCCGAACAGGTCGAAGCCGGTCCCGCCATCGCCGCCGGCGCCGTCGCCCTCGTCCGCCTCGGAGGCGGAGGTCGTCGAGCGGGGCGTCTCGCCCGTCGCGAACCTGCCGCCGAACACGGCGTCGGCCGGCGCCGAGGCGCCGGCAGCCGTGATCAGGTCGGCGACCTTTCGGTCCCTGCACCAGTGCTCGATCTTTACCGGTATGGGAGTTTTTGGCTAATCAAACCCAAGGCCTGCACTAATCAAAAAGTGGTACGGGATACCAGTTGCCTCACGGAAATCAAAGCGAGTCGGAGTGCCTTCTTATCGGCAAAATCGGCAAAATACCGGGTATTTTGCGGGTATACCTGGAAAAACCCGGGTTACCCGGGTAATACTCGCACTTTTGCATGGTTTCGCCCCCGGGACCACACCGACAGCCGCTACAACTACTGAAAACCCCGCATACCACTTTCGCGTACCACTATACCATACCACTCCAAAACTAATCAAAATATCGCCAAATACCGGTCTCATACCGGTAAAGATCGAGCACTGCCCTGCACGCTGCAGGGCCGCAAGCCGCATCAATTTTGCCGCGCCGGGACGGCTCGTAGAGCTCGTTGGCGAGCCAGTCCCGGGCGACCGCGGCTTGTTAAACATGTTTAACCCGGAGATTGCGAGTCAGTTTGTTGTTGTTGTTTGTGTGCGTGAACACGCGCAGAGAGAGAGTGAATGGGGTTCATCGATTTTATACTCTTAGAACTTAAAGCCGTAGATAGGGGCGGGGCCTAGGACGCCCTCACCTGGTGTGCGAGGTGTAGATCGGCGCATACTCAGGGTAGTACATCTTGCGGGTGACCCACTGCTCGTACGTCTCGCCGCGGTTGTGGTCGCAGCCGGGCGACGCCTTGGCGATGCCGAGGTCGTGGGCGTGGCGGATGCACGCGACCGCCACCGCATGCGAGCACTGCCGGATCTTGGAGATGGAGGGGAAGACGGAGCCGCGCGCCATCTCCTCCTCGTCGGTCACGCGCGAGAGGGCGACGGCAGACTCGTACAGCATCGAATCGGGGATGGTCTCGGACTGGCAGATGGAGGCGCCGAGTCCGATGCCGGGGAAGATGTACATGTTGTTGCACTGCGACGGCGTCTTGATCGAGCCGTCGGCGAGAGCGACGGGCTCGAAGGGCGAGCCGGTCGCCACGATGGCGCGGCCGTCCGACCATTCATACGCCTCCTCGGGCGTGATCTCGCAGGAGGAGGTCGGGTTCGAGAGCGGCATCACGATCGGCCGCTCGACGGCGGCCGCCATCTTGCGGATCGCAGCCTCGGAGATGGTGCCTCGCTTGCCCGAGAGGCCGAGGACGAGGTGCGGCTTCGCCTGAGGACATGTGCATGCACATGTCGCGGACATGTCGCGGACGTGTCGTGGACAAGTCAGCACGAGGTGCGGCTTCGCCTGCTCGACCACCTCCTCGAGCGCCATCCCGTCGGGCAGGTCGGCGCGCGCGAAAGCCATCTGCTCCTCGGTGAGCGACGAGAAGCGCGCCTTGGACTGCAGCCCGTCCTGGTCGAGGATGTAAAAGTTGCTGTACGCCGCCTTGGCCGACAGCCCCGCCTGCTGCATCGCCATGTGCAGCGCCTGGGCCACGCCGATCCCGGCGGAGCCAGCGCCGACCACGGCCACCCGCAGAGAGCGGATGTCCTCGGGCGGCCGCCGCTGCAGCCGCAGCGCGCCGAGCACGCCTGCGAGGACGGTGGCGCCGGTGCCCTGGATGTCGTCGTTGAAGCAGAGGTAGTTCTCGCGGTACTTGGCGAGCAAGTTGGACGCCTTGTCCGACGAGAAGTCCTCCCACTGCAGCAGCACGTTCGGGAAGCGCGAGAAGACGGCGCGCACAAACTCGTCCACGAGCGCCTGGTCACACCACGCCGTGAGAACAGCGTCTCTTCGCACCGCGAGCCAACTGCGCCGAGAGTGCGTAGTATCGATCGCCCGTGACGCGCGGCTGGCGGTAGCCGCGGTAGAGCGGGTCGCGAAGCAGCGACTCGTTGTTTGTCCCGAAGTCGAGCATGACGGGCAGCACTCTGTGCGGCGCGATGCCGCCCACCGCGCAGTAGAGCGCCAGCTTGCCAATCGGTATGCCCATCCCGTTGGCGCCGAGGTCGCCGAGCCCGAGGATGCGAGAGCCGTCCGTCACGACCACCACTTGCGTCTCGCTGCGAGGCCAGTTCCGCATCATCACGCCCATCTCGCCCGCGTCCTCGGGCGTGAAGAACATGCCGCGAGAGCGCTGGTACCGAGAGGAGAAGTGCTGGCAAGCGGCGCCGACGGTGGGAGTGTAGACCAGCGGCGCCATCTTCTCGACGTGGTCGACCAGCACGCGGTGGTAGAGCGTCTCGTTCCTGGCCTGCAGGTCCTGCAGCATCAGGTTCTGCATCAGCGGCTGGTCATCCATCGCCGACAGCTGCGTCACAAAGTTGGAGACCTGCTCCTCGATGGTGCGCACCTGCGCAGGCAGCAGCCCGCGCAGCCCGAGCCGCTCGCGCTCAGCCCACGTGAAGGCGGTGCCCTTGTTCCACAGCGGGTTGTTGAGGATGTCCCAGCCGTCAGAGTGCCGGGCATCGAGCGGCTTCAGGAACCGGGCGCGAGCGTCGGTCCCGTCGCCGTAAGCGCGGTGGAATGTGAGCCGGCCGAAGCGCGTGGCCCGCCTGAGCGAGCCTCGGCAGAGCATCGGTGCCGCTGGCAGCAGCACGGCGAAGCGGCGAGGGTCCTGGCGGCCGGTCGAGAGGTTGCGAAGGCGGAGGAGGCTGTGAGAGCCAGGGAGGCACCTGGCGAGGTACTCCCACGCCTCTCGGGGTTTTTGTCTGGCCGAGTCTCGTGCTGGGGCGAGCCTCGGCGAGACTGCGTCAGCTGTTCCCACAGCAGGCTGGAAGTACCCGCCAGGGAGGCACACAACAAAAAAGGCGAAAATTCGCATCGCAGGGCTCGCAATCGTTGCGAATACTTGGGGCGGGGGGCGGGCTCCTGCGCCCCCTCCCCACACCCCCCATCAAGGTGAGAGGACCCTCTACGGAGACCCTCTACGGGGACCCTCTACGAGGAGTCGAGGACCCCCCACGAGGACCCCCCACGAGGACCCAGGCACGACCTCGTGGCGGGTGCCCAAGACGAAGCATCGCAGTGTACGGAAAACAGAGAGAAGAAATTCGTCGGTCATCTCTACACGCGTGATGTCACGCTCTCATCTTAGTAAGGTAATAAAAACAAGAACCTCGTTCACACTTGACTTCGAGGGGACAGGCGCTGTTGTCCGCTCCCCAGAGGAAGCAGGCGTGGGCGGCCGGCTCGCCCACATGTGTGTGTGTATATATATGTCTTCCTCCGCCGCGGTGGAGGAACGCAGGCGGCTCTGCCGAGAAACCAAGCCGATGGTGTGCTATCATGTCGACGGGCTGCCGGCGAAGCGGGGCGGCGAGGAGCTCTACAGAGCGTTGCGAACCGCTGTCGCCGACGGCAACGCTGTGCTTCGCGAGTCGCTCACGATTCCTCCGCGCGACGCGAGGTCGTGGCGCGTGCCCGCCGGCTGGATATGGCGGATCGTTTGCACCGAGGGGCCGCAAGTGGCAGACATGAACGTGTGGAACGCACGCGACTCGCGCGAGCGCTTCTACTCGAGCAAGACGCGCCAGATCCACGCGACGCACCTCACGACCGGCGACCGGCTGTGGTCGAACATGCCCTTCCTGCGTCCGCTGGCCACCATCACCGAGGACACCATCGCGTACGGCTTTGACGAAGACGGCGCGGGCGTGCACGACGTGATTGGCTCCCGCTGCGACCCGTACACAAACTTTCTGCTGAGTGGCCTGACGGCAAACACGTGCTGCCACTCCAACCTGACGCGGCAGGCGCTGAGGGACGGCCTGGGCGAGACAGATGTGCACGACGTGCTCAACGTGTTTATGTGCACCGGCTTCACCCGCGACACGCACCAGTACTTTTCAAAGCCGTCGCCGGTGGTGCCGGGCGACTACCTCGAGCTCCTCGCCGAGACGGACCTGCTGGTCTCCGCCTCCACGTGCCCGCAGGGCGACGTGAGCATGGCCTGCGGCGCGTGCGGCGAGCCGGACTGCTACCCGCTCGGCGTCGAGGTGTACCAGCCGCGGGCCGGCTGGCTCGAGGAGGCGGGCTGGCAGCCCTCGGAGCCGAGCGCATACGCTGGCAACCACGGCCTGCCGCGGTCCGCAGCCGAGGCATAGCACTAGGACTTCATAAAGCGTTTCGGAGTTGCGCGTTTTTCTCTACAATTGCTATAGGACTATCGTGTCCCACACGGGAGAGTGTGCGCCAGGCGCCAACGGGCCGTGTCGCCGAGAGTCCAGTCAAAGTCTCAGTATGCTCAGACTGAAGCCGTAGATGGATATGGTGCGTCCCACTAGTGTGCTTAGTGGTTAGTGGACTCGCGAGTATATGGGACACGATGTCTCAAATATGAGGGGTTCGTTGACTCCTACCGGCTCCTGACGCTATTCCTGGCAGCTCTAATGACCAGGATCAGTACTGCTATGATAGAGGGTGCCCATACTAGCGCAGGAGCTGCCACACTCGCCCGGACCGTCCCCTTCTGGGGCCGGTTCCGCAGCCCGCGAGAGCTGAGAGCGGGGGGCCGTGCCGCGGGTGCCTACTGCCGAGTGCCACAAACACTGCGCCGTCCCGCCACCACCTACACAGGCTGTCTTGTGTGATGGTTGGGATGTCCAAACGCCACCATCTTGGCTCTTGCGACCTCAAACCCTCGAGCTGTATGGGTGGTCCTGACGTCGACAGACGCCCGATGACCACGGTGAAGCTGAGCCGGAACGAGTCGACAAGTCTCGTCTGAGCCCGTGGCGGTCGCCAGCTGAGTCGCTGTGCACGGGCCGGTACCTCAGGCGTCACCTCCGCAGCCTCAGGTCTCAAACTCCATCACCTCCGACGGGACGCCTTCGGTGGCACGCTCGGCGGCGTACTTTCTGCAGCTCCATCTCGAGAACGGCATCGAGCCTACTCGCTCCAGTTGGTTCGGCACACTCGGTGGGCGTCCACCGAGTGTGCCGAACGCGCGAGCGGTGCGTCCCGGCAGCCCGCGTACGTACTCTTAGCTTACGAGGCTGATCCGGGCGTAACGCCAGCACAGCGAGGCGCCCACGTAGCCGTCCGAAGTCGCGTCAGGTTCGCTCGACACGCTAGCGGAGCGGTTGGCGAGGCTAGTGGTGGCCATAGTCTGGTCCCCTAGGGGGGTCGATGGGTCGGCCCGCGCCCTCCTTCCCAAGCCGCGCCGGCCGCCGCGCGCGCCGCTTCGGCGTCGGGCCAGAATCCAGGGCTGCGGCTGGAAGAGCGACGCGAGCCGAGCCATCGACCCACCTACCCTCTCGTACACCGCATGCCACGCACTTCTGCACGTCGCGACAGCCGCGTCGTGCAAATCCCACGTGACTTCACCCCATTGCGTGCGGCGCAGATAGCGACAATGACCAACGCGCCCTCTTCTGCCTCTGGCGACGACCGCGCGTGGCGCACCTCGGCTGCTCGCCGACGGTGAAGCAGAACAGCAACTCAGGCCGGTGGTACATCGAGTGCCTCTACTGCAAGTCGAAGACGCACGTCAAGATGTCGCTCAACAACCTACGCTCCAGAGGTGGGTCGCCCGCTCCACGACCCTCCCTCCCTACGGCGCGGCCCCCTTCGAGCCGCGAGACTTTGGCACGGCAGCGCTGGCGGCAGTTCCACGCTTCATAGAGTGGATCGTTGACGGCTTCGCCAACGGGGCTCTGGCGGCAGCACCTCCACCCTGATGGACGTGGACGTTGTCCTCTGGCGGTGTTGTGTCGTAGGGTACTGCTATAACTGGTTAAGAGCTTCATGTGCTTGCGCGCGTACGCACATGGGGCGCACGACGGATCAGTCCGCGCCTGTGGACTGAGCCGCACCACACGGTGGGAGCGCTGGCCGTGCACGGCACATGGGGTCGGTGTGCGCGGTGTGCTCGTGTTGTGAGAGATGGTGTTTGACTCGCTCGGTGCCGCGAGCGAGAGGGGAGGGCGAGACGCCGCGCTGGGTATTAATCAGAGTGTTAGTCAAATAATCCTCGCACACCACGACTCGCGCATAAACCACGACTCGACCCACAGGGAGAGTGCGTGCGCTGCGACGGACCCAGCCGGCACCGGCAGTGCGGACACAGTGCGAGTTGCGATGACTACCGACGCACAAGCACACCACGCGACGTAGTCTGCAACACCGCGCGGCTGGACACCACACACTTCACCGGTAGGACTCACTGGGTCGGACACGCGCGCCGTGCAGCGGCAACCGAAGATGCCGAGAAGCCCGCCCGAAGCTCCGAACCATGTGCTGTGGTCGCTGCCACGCCACCCGCGCGGCCGGCCCGGGCGCAGGCCGTGACGACTGATCGCGGCGGCAGCGCCGCGCGCCCTCGTGCCGCGGTGCGCGCCGCTCGCGCCGCGCCAAGGGAGGTCTTCAGCCTGCGGCGCGCTCACCCGCAGCGCTGCCGGGCGTGCCCATAAAAATGCGCCGCCTCTGGACGTCTCTGCCGCCTCCAAGGCGACCGACGCCACGAGTGATATGCGCGACGCCACCGTGAGACGTCTGGACGGCTCGCTGCGACCTCAAGGCCAGCCTCGCTGCCCGCCGTGAGCGCCAAAAAAGCGTCAACCGCGCAACCGCGCAACCGAGAGAGAGCCGCCGAGACGCTTCAGCGACCCGCCAGGAGCCGGGCCGAGGCCTGTCCGAAGCCGCATGCCGCTCGAGTCGGTCGCCCGGCGCACCCTGGGAGGCGCCCGTCGAAGCCAAAGCTGTGCTGGGGACACGGCCTGATCAGCCTCGTACTGGGAGAAAAGAGAGAGGGGTGCCTAGCTCTCTCTCCCAGAGTAAGCTAAAAGATAAAAGTACGTACACGGTACACCGATCTTACGTACACAAAAAATACATCGCCTCGCTGTCTGGAGACTGGCCGAGCCCGAACTGCGAGGCTCCTCTACTGGCTAGAATAGTACTCTTGCATCCATCTGCAAGTCTCTGCAAAACTGCTGGACATCTCCGCCCGCGCGCTGATTCCACGGCTGCCTCTGCCCGGGTTGGTGCCTGGCGGCTCGCGTAGTCCGCGTCGCGGCCATTCCTAGTTGGTTGGCGCGGTCTTGACCTGCTCCTCGGTGACGAGGCGGAGGTACGCCTGGCGGAGGAGAGGGGCGGGGGGTGCGAGTCGCCCTCCCGCGAGGAGGTTTGCGAGGGGGAGGGGGAGGCGACTCCTTCTTGGAGGGGACGTCGCAGGTGTGGTAGCCCGGGTAGTGCGCCGCCGCCTCCTCGTCCGACACGGTCGGGAGCAGGAAGACGGAGCCTGAGGGGGAGAGGCGCGGTCGGCCTCCGACTCGTGGAGGCGCGGGTCGTGCAGGCGGTGATCGGGGCGGCCCTTGAACGACGTCGTGCGCCCGTCGCCAAGGGGGATGTCGGCGTGGTTGTTTGGCCTGCGGAGCAGCGGGCCGGGTGAGAGATAGCCGAGAGATAGCCGACATCGGCCGAGATTCAGCCGAGATATGCGCACCAGTTCGCCGGCGTAGCGATCGACTTTTGGTACGAGAGCTGCAGCGCCTTGACGCAGCGGACGATCTCGTCCATGTTGCGGCCGACGCAGGCGGGGCTGCAGGGCGGGTCGTGGTCCGTGGTTGGGAGGGCGGGTTTGTTGGGGGCGGGAGCGGCGGCTGGAGCCGGGACTGGGGCGCGCTATCGCTCACTAGTTGAGGGAGAGCATCAGCTTGTTCTCTGGGTTGATGATGAAGACGGCGCGGATGGTGAGGGGCAGCTCCTGCTCGCCGGACGTCGCGGGGTCGATCATGCCGTACGCGGTCGAGATGGAGCGGTCCGCGTCGCCGATGATCGGGAACTTGACCTCGATCTCGTTCTCGCAGTGCGCCACCACGTCCTCGAGCCACTCCTCGTGCGACTTGACCTGCGAGGCTCCGAAAAAGGTTCTCGGAAGGTTCCACCGCGTCGTCGCCACTCCTCGTGCGACTTAGACCGGGTCCACCGACAGGGTCGCGACGAGGCAGTCGAGGTCGGTGAGCTCGTCGTACTTGAGGGCGAGGCGGCCGATCTCCGTCGTGCAGACCGGCGTGAAGTCTGCGGGGTGCGAGAATAGGATCGCCCACTTGTCCTTCTTCCACGCCTGCGCGGCGCGAGGTGGGGGCGCGCTGTGCGGCGAGGGTGGGTCGATGGGTGTGCTGGCCCTCGAGCGCACGTGAAAGGAGCTCCAGTGGCCGTGCGTTGTCTCGCACGCAAAATCAGGAGTGATGTTGCCGAGGCGCAGCCTGCGGGAAGTAGAGCGGCTGTGGGATGCGGGTGGCGGCGACTCGAAGTGCGAGCGTGGATCTCAATCGCGCGGGTAATTCAGTGCTGATGGTGCAAGCCAGGCGCTCGCTCCCTCACCCACTGTCGCTCGAGGCCTCCGGGTAGAGGCTCATGTAGAGTTCCGTCCCGGTCTTCATCGGTGACACCTTCCCCCCGGTGCAGAGGGGCCGCCGCGCATGCGAGGCGACTGGGCGAAGGAGCGTGCGGGAGCGAGCCAGCATAGGTGTTCGTCTCTTTGCCAGCTCTCTGCCGAGGGAGGGAGCGATCCCTGGATCGACAGGTCGCACTCAAGTAGGGGGGGGGACGCGGGGAGACAGCGGTGTAGCACTTTCTCGGAAGAGGGCGAGTGAGCTTTAAGAGTTGCGGCGTGGCCTTCAAACGACAAAAAGAAAACGCGCACCGGCGCCAGCGAGTGATCACCGAGAGGCACCCCGAGCTCGGAGCACACTGTCGTGATCTCCCCCATCATGATCACCCGCACCCTCTTGGCAACGCTGCTGGCACTGCCGCTCGCCAGATGCCGCCTCGCTGCTGTCTGGTCCTCCGACATCGGCTCCGGAGGCGGAGGGCCGCCCGTCTCGTCGCTCTGGACGCTCACGCAGCGAGTCTCAATCGGCAACGTCAAAACCAAGGCGGTGGTGGAGTATGACCCGGAGGTGCTCCTGTCGGGACCAAAGTCTGCCTCGCTGAGCGGCGCGGTCGGCGAAGGCCTCGGCTACAAGGCCAAGCGCGACTTCAAGGCCAAGAAGACGGCACTCACGCTGCAGGCGGACGTGCCGACCGGCATCGTGTCTGCAGACTTTTCCGGCCCCACGCTCCCCTCGGCGCTCAGCAAGATCAGCGCCAGCGCCTCAGT